AGAAAGATCACAATTTAACAACCTAATATCACAACTAAGAGAACTAGAAAACCAACAGCAAAACTCCAAAACTAGCAGAAGACAAGAAATAACTGAAATCGGAACTGAACTATAGGAGATCGAAACACAAGAAACCATTAAAAAGATCAACAAATCTACAAGTTGTCTTTTTGAAAAATTAATAAAATAGAACACTAGCTAGACTCATAAAGAAAGGATCCAAATAAACACAGTTAAAATGACAAAGAAGATATTACCACTGACCCCACAGAAATAGAAATAATCATGAGAGAATACTGTGAACACCTCTCTGCATACAAACTAGAAGATAGAGAAGAAATGATAAATGCCTGGACATATATAACCTCCAAAGACCAAACCAGGAAGAAATTGAATCCCTGAATAGACCAGTAACAAGCTCTGAAATGGATCAGTAATAAATAGCCTACCAACCAAAAAAATCTCAGGATCAGATAGATTCACAGCTGAATTCTACCAGATGTATAAAAAGGAGCTGGTACTATTTCTACTAAAACTATTCCAGAAAATTGAGAAGGAGGGATTCCTTTATAACTCACTCTATAGGCAAGCATCATCCTGATAACAAAACCTGGCAGAGACACAACAAAAAAGAAAACTCAAGCCAATATCCTTGATAGACATTGATGCAAAAAATCCTCAACAAATATGGGCCAACCAAATTCAGCAGCATGTCAAGAAGTTTTCCATCACAGACAGGTAGGCTTTATCCCTGGGATGCACGGTTGCTTCAACATATGCAAATCAATAAATGTGATTTACCACATGAACAAAACTAAAGACAAAAAAACACATGATTATTTCAGTAGATTCAGTAAAAGCTTTCAATAAAAGTCAACACTCCTTTATATTAAAAATTCTCAATAAACTATTGAAGGAACATACCTCAAAATAATAGATCATCTATGACAGTCCCACAGCCAACATCATACTAAGTGAGCAAAACCTGGAAGCATTCCCCTTGAAAACCAGCAAGAGAAAAGGGTGCTCTCTTTCATCATACCTATTTAACATATTATTGGAAGTCTTGATAAGAGCAATGAGGTAAGAGAAAAAATTAAGGGGCATGGAAACAGGAAGAGAGGAAGTCAAACTATCCCTGTTTGCAGATGACATAATTCTATCTCTAGAAAACCTCATAGTCTGCCCAAAACTCCTCCAGCTGATGAACAACTTGAGCAGATTCTCAGGATACAAAATCAACAGACAAAAATCACTAGCATTTCTACATACCAACAACAGTCAAGGTGAGAGCCAAATCTCATTCACAATTGCCATTAAAAAGAATAAAGTACCTAGGACCACAGCTAAACGGGTAGATAAAAGATCTCTGCGAAGAGAACTACAAAGCAGTGCTCAAATCAGTCAGAGATGACACAAACAAATGGAAAACAATTTCATACGGATTCTTCCTCATGAATAGGAAGAATCAATATTGTTAACATGGCATACTGCTCCAAGCAATTTACAGATTCAACACTATTCCTATCAAACTACCAATAATATTCTTCACATAACTAGAAAATACTATTTTAAAATTCATATAAACCCAAGAAGGAGTCTGAAGAGCCAAGCAAAAAGAACAATGCTGGAAGCATCATACTACCTAACTCCAAACTATACTACTGGGCTACACTAACCAACTTACAACTAACTGATCTTCGACAAAGCTGACAAAAGCAAGCAACGGGGAAATGACTCCCTATTCAATAAATAGTGCTGGGATAACTGGCTAGCCATATGCAGAAGATTGAAACTGGACCCCTTCATTACAGCATATACAAAAATCAACATGAACTTGAGATGGATTGAAGACTTAAATATAAAACCAAAAACTATAAAAATGCTTTGGAAAACAACTTAGGCTTCTGGACAGCAAAATAAACTGCCAACAGAGTAAATAGACAACCTACAGAATAAGAGAAAACTTTCGCAAACTATGCATCAGCAGAAGTCTAATATCCAGTATCTATATGAAACATCAAAAATTTCAAGAAAAAAATTAAAAAGTGTGCAGAGAACATGAACAGACACTTCTCAAAAGAATGCATGCATGTGGCCAGTAAGAATGTGAAAAAAAGCTCTATATCACTGATCATTAGAAAAAAGCAAATCAAAACCACTATGAGATACCATCTCACACCAGTCAGAATGGCTATTAATGAAAAGTCAAAAAAATAACACATGCCGGCGAGGTTGTGAAGAAAAAGGAATACTTAGACATTGTTGGTGGGGGTGTAAATTAGTTCAACCTCTGTGGAAAGCAGTGTGGCAATTCTTCAAAGAGCCAGAAACAGGGGCCGGGCTCAGTGGCTCAAGCTTGTAATCCCAGCACTTTGGGATGCTGAGGTGGGTGGATCACGAGGTCAAGAGATCGAGACCAGCCTGGTCAACATGGTGAAATCCCATCTCTACTAAAAATACAAAAAATTAGCTGTGCATGGTGGTGCATGCCCGTAATCCCAGCTACTCAGGAGGCTGAGGCAGGAGAATTGCTTGAATCCAGGAGACGGAGGTTGCCATGAGCTGAGATGGCACCATTGTACTCCAGCCTGGGTAACAAGAGCAAAACTCAGTCTCAAAAAAATAAAAAAAGGGCCAGAAACAGAACTACAATTTGACCCAGCAATCCCATTGCTGGGTATGAACCAAAGGAATATAAATAGTTCTGTCATAAAGACACATGCAAGTATATGTTCACTGCAGCAGTAATCACAGTAGCAAAGACATGAAATCAACCTGAATGTCTGTCAGTGGTAAACTGGATAAAGAAAATATGGTACATATACACCAGGGAATACTATGCAGCCACAAAAGAGCCACAAAACAGATCATGTCCTTGGCAGGAACATGGATAGAGCTGGATGCCATTACCCTTAGCAAACTAATGCAGGAACAGAAAACTAAATACTGCATATTGTCATTTACAAGTGGGAGCTACATGATGAGACCCATGAACACACAGAAGGGAACAGCAGACACTAGGGCTACTGTGAGGGAGATCTACTGAGGGAGATCTGTGGGGATCACTCCCGTGTTAGGCCCCTAGGAAATGGGCCTCTCCATACGGTGAGCTTGAGCCTGGACACAGATCCCCGGTTGAGGGAGTCGAGCTGAGGGAAAGCAGGAACCGAGAGAGGGACTATGTTATTCAAAATAATTAACAGACATTACTTTACGGATATGAGGACTTGGGAGGCATTGTGTCCACTTTCGGCTCCCTATGGTTTATTGCTTCATTGTGTTCATTTTGGATCCTTGATACATTTGTTTTAAAATATTAACTTAAGTATTTACTTGGCATAACTTACTGGGCGTAACTTACTTACCTTGACTTAGTGGGCATAACTTACTTACCTTGACTTACTGGGCGTAACCTACTTACTGGGCGTAACCTACTTACTGGGCTTAACCTACTTACTGGGCTTAACTTATTTACTGGACATAACTTACTTAGTGGGCTTAACTTGCTTACATTTTGACTTAAGTATTTTGATCTGATGTAAACAACATTAAAGAAAACTATACAATGGAACCTATTGCAAAAATAAAATTGCTGCATGGACATAGCTCATGTGGCCCTCCAGACCTTGCTCTTTTCTTTCTCCTTTTTTTCTGGCGCATGCTGTCTTCCAGGTTTGGGACCCTCACCAGACGAGATTCCCAGGCTCGAGTTCAGTTCACAACACTACTGTAGGATGGGTGGTGGGAGAAGGAACAGGAGCAGGAAACATACATGATTGGTACTAGGCCTAATACCTGTGTGATGAAATAGTCTGTACAAAAAAACCCATGACACGAGTTTACCTGTATTACAAACCTGCACACATACCCATGATCCTAAAATAAATTTTTTTTAAAGCGCTCATTGTCCAGTCTGAATGGCACATATGTAAATACAAATAAACGGTGATAAAAGCAATGATAAAAATATATCCAATATCCAGTAAGAACATGTTTATTTATTCAAGAATGTATTTAAAGTTGCTCATAATATGAAATAAAAGGTAAAATGAATAATAGAGTAAATCCAGAAGAAAAAAATAACTTTGCATAGATAACTTGAAGTAAGCAGTATATGGGTATACAGAATACATAGTTAAGGTCTAGAAAAATGGCTGAATAAGCATTTGGCCTCTAAGCTTTCTGGAAGGTAAGCAAAAATTAGAACACAATCAATTACACTATTTATATTATCTCCAAAGAAAAGAAAATGAACCTATTCCTAGTGCTGAAATGAAAGTTTTTCCTTGTAGGGATCAAAATAGAACAACGTGCCATCCTCAACAACATCCACATATTAATTTGACTTCATAGAGCTATTTCTTATAGTGGCTGCTAGCATGGACCAATGATGACATAATGCCAGATTACATACAATAAAAGCAGTTTTACAAGAGGACAGACCATATAGTCCAGATGTGTAAATTTCTGCTTGTGAAGCTTATTCCTAGGATATTTCTTTGTATCTATAGGATCACATGGACTATATATCACTCAGGCAATCCTTTGCAAATTTATGTTGCCCAACCAAGCATGTGATGAGTATTAAGCAACAACGAGTTCAAGGTTACAGTCCTTTACAATCACTTATGGAACAGCTATTTCTGTCTACTGATTAAATAATGAAAATGCTTAACTCCCTCTGGGGTTAAGTTCAGAGGAAAGGGACTATGGAACTTGGGCTGTTTTTAAAAATTGTGATAAAATACACACATCATGAAATTTATCTTGACCATTTTTGTGGGTACTGTTCGATGACATTGGGGACATTCACATTGTTTTTTTACTAATCCACCCCCACGGAACTCTTTTTATCTTACAAATCTGAATCTCTGTGCTTATTATACAATAACTCCCCATTACTCCCTCCCTTGGTCCCCAGCAGCCACCATTTTTATCTCTATCTCTATGAATTTGACTACCCTAGGTATCTTCATAAAAGTAGAACCGTACAGCATAAAAATACAGAATACTTCATGAATTTGCACATCATTCTTGCTCAGGTGCTATCCTAATTGCCTCTCTGTTGTTCTAATTTTAGTGTATGTACTACTCAAGCAATCACTTTGGCTGGTTTTGGAGAGAAGGACAGGAGCTCATCTGTAGAAAAGCTCCTGTATGAGGCAGGATGGTATAGTAATACTATTTTCCTTGCACCTGCAGATTTGAGACAAGAAGGAACAGGAAAGGAGATGAGGTTAAAAAGACAGGAAGAAACCGAAGTCTAAAGGGCTTTGTAAACCATATTTAATTAAGAGCTTGGACTTATAGACAATAAAAATGGAATAGGGAATTGAAATTTATATTTAAGAAAAATAATTCCAGGGAAAAAGAAAGGAGGCCTGGAAGAGGACAAAATCTAAGAAAGACCAATTAGAAGGCAATGGCAAATATCTAGACAAGGTTTTCCTTCTTCCTCACCTCCCAGCTCACCAATATGTTAGAGTGGGAATTATGGAATTGTATAGAACATGGGGAGATTTATGTCTGTGCTTCTCATGTCCTTACTTCCCATTTTCTGTTCCAAGCTCAGAAGAAAACTTTGGACATTTTAGAAAATCTTATATGTCATTAACTAGCAAAAAAAACAAACAACCCCATTAAAAAATGGGCAAAAGATATGAACAGACACTTCTTTAAAGAAAGTATGGCCAGGCATGGTGGCTCAAGCCTGTAATCCCAGCACTTTGGGAGGCCGAGGCAGGTGGATCACGAGGTCAGGAGTTCAAGACCAGCCTGGCTGAGATGGTGAAACCTCATCTTTACTAAAAACACAAAAATTAGCTGGGCATGGTGGTGGGTGCCTATAATCCCAACTACTCGGGAGGCTGAGGTAGAGAATTGCTTGAATCAGGGAGGTGGAGGTTGTAGTGAGCTGAGATTGCTCCACTCCAGCCAGGGCGACAGAATGAGACTCCATCTCGAAAAAATAATAAAATAATAAAACATACACATGACCAAAAAACATATGAAAAAATACTCAACATGGACTAATCATTTGAGAAATGCAAATTAAAACCACAATGAGATACCTTCTTACACTAGTGAGAATGGCTCCTATTAAAAATTCAAAAAGTAGCAGATGCTGGTGAGGTTAAGGAGAAAAGGAATTGCCTATACACTGCTGGTGGGAATGTAAATTAGTTCAGCTATTGTGGAAATCAGTGTGGTGATTTCCCAAAAAAACTTAAAACAGAAGTACCACTGGGCTGAGCAATCCCATTATTGGATATGTATATCCAAAGGAATAGAAATTGTTCTGTCATAAAGAAACATGCATGCATGTGTTCATTGTGGCACTATTCACAATAGCAAACACATGGTATCAACCCAAGTGCCCATCAACAGGACACTGGATAAAGAAAATGTGATGCATATTCACCATGGAATACTATGCAGTCATTTAAAAGAATAATATGATGCCCTCTGCAGCAACATGGAGAGAGCTGCAGGCCATAATCCTAAGCAAACTAACAGAGGAACAGACAACCAAATACCACATGTTCTCACTTGTAAGTGCAAGCTAAACATTGAGTACAAAGGGACATAATTTGTTGGGTTGTCTGTTGGTGACAACAGACACCAGGGCCTACTTGAGGTGGAGAGTGGAGGAGGAAGAGAATCAAAAAATTACCTATCAGGTACTGTGCTTCATAAATGAGTGACAAAATAATTTGTACACTGAATCTCCACAACAAGCAATTTACTTAACATTAAACTTGCACATATACCCCAGAACCTAAAATAATTTTTTTTTTAAAAAAGAAACTCTTATATTTCAGCAAAGAATCTAGAGAAGCCAAAGTCTAAAATGCACATTTTAATCCAGGAGAGCACTTCTGCAGTGGCATTTATCCCAACTGACCTGCCTCATTCCCTACCTCACATTATTTGTGTAGCAAGTGATGTGTACTAAGTCATTACTTTATAGCTTTTCTGGAATCCTATGTGAATCATTTTTAATACAATTCAATTATACTTAAGAAAATGGAATCTAAATATTGAAAGAAATGTGTTTTCCCTTCATAAGAAGCTTTCTGACTTTATACACCCTAAAGATCCCCTAATAATTAGGATGAGGGCAGAGGCTCTAGAATTTGACTTATAGTCTTGGGCTTAAATGCTGCTACTTTATCTCATTTAGTGGTCTGTAAGTTCTTCATAGCACACAGCTCTCAAGGAGCACTCTCTCTCAAAACACTTCAATGGCCAATACCTAAGGCATCATGTATGAAGTCGCTGTTACTGCCAACGAGAGATCGTTCCAGACAATGTTTCTACCTGGGATGCTTTCCCTCACCCTATTTTCATATGTGAAATCATAACCATTCTTTAAGAACAATGCAAAGAAGAAAACTGTAAATCTTTCCCCAAAAAAGGTACTGGACATGCTATCTTCACTATCTGAAGTCCAGTTGGATTTTATTTCAATCTTTTCCATAGCACCATCTTAGTCCTCAATGTTTTATTTTAAAATTACTTGAGAACGGAGATAATGTTATAATTGTACTTGAATTCTTTACTTGCATATAAGAAAGAATAAATATTAAATAATCAGTGCTTATGCATTCAATAAAGAGTTGTTGGAGTCCTATTAGATGCCAAATACTTGGTTAGGCATTAGAAATACACCAATGAATACGAAATAATCTCTGAACTCAAGAAATCTCAGTGCAGATGGAAGATTCCTCAGAAATGTTTTAGAGCATGAAAAGGACATTTTGAGCAAAAGTTAAGAAGGCACATCTAGAGTCTTAAGAATTCTGAAAAGGGCTAGAATTTAAAAATGCATTGCAATATCTAATTTTTGCTGCCAACAGTGTTTCCTCAGGTGGAAAAAAGAATTCTTCTTAAAATAACAGGAAACTAAATTATAAAAAGGCACATTTCAACTTAAAGTAAGGACTGCTTTTTAGGAATCAGAGCATCTCCACATTAAAATTAGTTGCTTTGTAAAAATGAAGAGCTATGGATTATATTAGAAATCTAGACAACTGCTGTATAAATGTATAAGTTTAATGTAGAAGAAATCATTGTAAGGAATAAAAAGTTTGAGTTGAAAATCTTAAAGACTCTAATTCCAAGATCTATTAATTTCATGTAAGAATAATAAGAGCATCTCATTATATGCACATAAGGATAATATGGATTTTTATGTCTTAAGCTGAATGTATTATTGAAAATGGATGCTTTTGAAACTCTAACAGAATTATTCACAAAACTTATTCTTCACTTTCCAAATATCATGAACTATGACTTTCATTTGCTAAGACCTATAAGCCTATTAAATGTCTGTGTGTGTGTATGTGTGTGTGTGTGTAGAATATCCTAGTGATGCTCCCATTAAATTGGCATTACTCAATAAATGGAGGATCTTAAATCAATCATAGTTGCTGCAGAGTAACTTGGTCTTCTAATGTTTTAGCATAGAGGCCAAAAACCATTATTTTGCCAAGTAATTGTCCAAAGGTTAAGCCAGATTATCTGGAAACCTGAACATTAAGTATGTTAGGAAAGAAAGCATAGGAATTTCTTATGCTTTTGTGCTAATCTTCTCAAATTCCCTTTTCCAAGTGATTAAGTATCAAGGAACCAGATTCCCTGGAAATGCGTAGCTGAATGAAGAGAATTAAAATGGAGAAAGAAGAAAAAATAACTGCAACTGAAATCTCTTACTTAAAAACATCCTAATACAATATTTACAGAAGTGTTCCAAGTGGCCTGTTAGCACAGTAGTTAAGGTATAGAAGTGTTCCAAAATACTCCAAAAGTAAAAAAAAAAAAAAAAAAAAAAAAATGGATGGAATACTTAAAAATTCTCACTTCTATTTCTTCCCACTGTTAAAAGTCTTCCTCCGCTCTCTGCTCCATTCCATCCAACCTGCCATTACTCAAGTCCTAATCATGAATACCTGGACTACTGTAGTCCTACACTCTTTCACAATAACACCAAACACATATAGCCTTAAAAACACAAATCTGGTCTTGTAATCAAGCTCTTTTACAAGCATTTTGCAAGAGGAAACTGAAGTTTAATGAAGTTTAAATTGGTGATCACGATCGGGGGATCTGAGCACTAGGCTGGAGCTAGAGCTCAAGCATGGTTCTTCCTTCAAAACTATTTTACCTCTCACATTGTCTTCCAAGGTATTGTTATGTATATTATGGATACTAATAGAATAATTCTACCTCAATGATACAGTAAAATTTGCATAGAATATTGGGACTATATTCATAGACAGAAAAGCTGTCAGTTCAAAATTTCATTCACAAAGTACATAAAATCTATTCAACAAAGTTGTGCTGCAAAACAATTGCTCCTAACACATAATTTACCAGTATTTATAACCATTCCCTCTATTTGACTGTCTATATATTTAAATCTCTCTTATACATGCACCAAGAAGCATTTTGATTTTCAGCCAACACATAGTTTAACAGATTGCTTAAATATATTAAAGAAAAATATTTTTATTAAGATTAATGCTGTGTGTGTTTTCTTTATACCACATAAAAGTTACCTAATGTAGATGACAGGGTGCTGGATGCAGCAAACCACTATGGCATGTGTATACCTATGTAACCAACCTGCATGCTCTGCACATGTACACCAAAACTTAAAGTATAATAAAAATAAATAAATAAATAAAACCACGATGACATTGAAAATTGTAACTATTACTTAAGGTGGAAAATAAAGAGTATAAAAATTTCCATTTTCTGCTTTTCCTTTTAGTTCTCGTTTTATTTTCATATTAAAATTGTCCAAATTCTACATTGAAAATTTAATAATGAACTTGAGTAACTTTGCTAAAATGTTAATATATGCAAAGTTACAACAAGAAAAAAGTAGAATATAGGAATATTTTGATTTTTAGTTTGGCAAGATCTGAAAGAAATTCTGTTATGCAATTCTCACATAAGAATTATTAGACATATTGCAAACGTCTTAGAATAAAATAAACTGAATATAAAGAAAACAAAATTACAATGTTTATCTTTACTTTCAGATATCTGATGCTTCTAAAATGTATAAATAATATTAAAATTAAAAGTTAAATTTTC